TCTCCATAGCTGGATAGTGTAATTCCAAGGTAGTTTATTGCTATTACTTGTTTAATACTGATTCCATCGATTTCTATTTTACAAAAAAATATAACTTGACATATCTGGTGATTCAAAAAATGCTGGAAAGAAGAGGTCTAAAAAGAAGAAGAGGTGTTTAACCGATTCCTATTGGCGGATTAACAATTCAATGCATATCACTAATACGAGTAGCATTCCAAGAAGCAGGGGATTTTTAAAATCTGTATAAATTTTTATACAATAAATTAAACACAATGTTTTCTTATGGCTAGATATAAAAGTCTACCCTTTAGTGTACCAAACTACCTAAGCAAAACAAAGATATTTGTAGAAATATTTTTATTTCACTGGTCTAAACTTGAAATTTTTCATTTAATAAATAAAAGCCATGAAAAATTCAGCATAATCCTCTTTGATAGTTTTGACGGAATACGTTTTTCTTGGAAAATCCAACAGAAAAATCTTTCTAATTTAAATTTCAAATCGCCTATTATCTGTAAGATATTTGTAAAATTATTCGCAGGTGCATTCAGATTATAAGATACGTGTGAAAACCTTTCATTATTCACGATTTCTTTTTTTACCGTTTCTCTCAAATCAGATGCTAGACAATCAGAGTTTTTGTTGGCAGCCTGAAAGTGGGATTTCACGTTTTAATACTTTGTTCAGTTTGAATAAAGTTTATGATGAGGAATTGCTTTTATTTCAATGTAATTTTTAAGGAATATGTCAGAATATATTAGTTACAGAATTGTAAATATAATTTTTTGTACACTAACGCATTAGTCACGCAGAATATTAGCGTATTGTTAGGTTAGGAAATTAGTATAATATATAGTTGCAATTCTAAAAGTAATTTGTACACTAAAGGGCTAAAAAGGCCTATTACTCCCTTTCCGTCCATTAAACTAGAAAATGATAATTGGACCAGAACTAACAAACAAAAAGCAATGCATGTCAAATAAGGAGTCACTGGGGAAATGTTTTAGAAAAAAAAGCTTTGGGTTATGATTTAAATACACGTGAGCTTCTTTGACTTAAATTACTAAAGGATACTTTAATTCTAAAGGCCTCTAAAAATTACTAAAAATTCTATGGTGTCCCCTTATTTTATCTAACTATTTATGCCCGAGAATTAAGATACTGCTTACGTACTACTACTCTGGAGAAATACCATAGAATGGCTGAAGTATGGATTTATTGCACTTTAAAAAAAAACATAAGCCTCATGAGTCATGTCCTAATATTGTTTTTAAAAATAATCCATAAGAGAATTTATAAGCTGTGTAAAGGTCAAATTTCCCCGAACCAGTTCGGATTCATAAATGGAGAGAGAGGCTTTGTTCTTAATACCAGTCTTATTCCAAAGATGCAAAGACGTCAACTGCTACGAATACGCTTGTCTCATTGATTACAAGAAAGCGTTTAATCAAGTAGAGGACGCTAAGATGTGAAGCAAGATCTTAAAATAATTAGAAATCTTTATTGGAATTAGACTGCAAATCTCAGAATCAAAGATGAATACACCTAATATGTGAAAATCATGCATGGAGTGAGGCAGGGCTGTATTTTGTCTCCTCTGATATTTAATCTTTACTCTAAAAAAATTGTAGAAGACCTACAAGTCCTTATGAACAAATCACGTATTAGAGTGGTCAATATGGACTCAATATAAAACGTAACAGAAGGTAAACTCTACATCAACCAAATCCCAGTAGAAAGACTGACGCCTGACTGACTAGATCCACCTTCAACCGGATGGAGGCCTTCTTCAAGAGCCACAATCTTTCTCTTAGTATAAACGTAAAAATGCTGCGACGCTATGTCTTCTCTGTCCTTTTTATGGCGTTGAAGCTTATACCTTACATTAAGATATGTGTAAATTAAAATATATGTAAATGATTTCAAGCATTTGAGGTGTGGCTGTATCGGAGAATACCTAATCGGCTGTACCTACTGATTTATTTTTTAAGTTAATTTATAATACAGGGTGAGTCAATACTATACTTACTTATGTTTATGCGTTTTTATTCATATCTCGAGTTTGACAAAAGCTATTAACATGCGGTTTGCGCCATTTTGTTACAAATTTAATCCAGTTTTTATTATAATTTTCAATAAATAGGTGTTTTCATTAAACATTTTAAAGAAAAACATATTTTTTCTATTCTAAAGTACCCTCTACCTATGACAATTAAAACTAAATACAGTTATTTTATAGTAGATGTAAATTAATTCATCTATAGTCTTTCTAATGGCACTCATTTCGTTAAAATTGGTAGATCCAAACCAAAGTTATAGGTATTTATCCACAAATACTTTCACACTCTCCCCTCACCTGCCCCTCACCGCCCCCTTACCAACACTTTATTTGAAAAAATATATAATAAATAAATAAATAATATATATAATTGGGCATATTTCCAAAAAATTGATTTTCAAAGTTTTCTGCAGAGGTTACGCCCTCTAGCGGTTAACCTAGAAACTTAAAGTTATTTCCAGCGATTTCTCTTGGCCACTTTTACTAATAGTCTAGACGGGATCTGTTTTGGATTGGACATTTTCCATAGGAAGCTATTTTTTTGCTGGAATCCCTTCAGGATGTGCCCAATATCGATAATCACGATATGCGCCAGTCGCAAACCCTGTGCTAAATTTTTTATTTAACAAAATCTGAAAACAAATAAAAATTTCTCATTTTTTTGCTTCTATTTTCGTTTATAATTCGGAAAATATTGATCCTAGAGAAAAAATTATAGGAAGTTAAAAGTTACGTAATTCAATTTTACACAATATTTCGTTAGCTAGAAATTAAAAATTTAATGTTTATTGTTGAAAAAATAGCAATAATTGGAAAAAAAGTACAAAAAAATGAAGTTAATCCTTTAAATGTTTTTGACTTTCTAAACTTGACTTAAAAGCTCCATATTCCGCCTAGAAAAATTTTTAATATGTTTAAAACGTGTGCTAAATTTTGTTAAGATCGTCGGATAGGTTTTGCATAATAATTGTGCAATCCAGCCTACTGGAAAAAAATCGCAAATTTTCAAATTTATAGTAGGCCCTAAATAAGATCCCTCAGTTAGTTGCAATTTTTTTTACGTATAAAGGAAGGCTCAAACTTCCAAACGCTTTTTGTAAAATTCAAATCGGTTCACTAGGAGAGCCTAGAAATTTTATTAAAATTTTAAACATTTTTTAGGCTTATAAACAAATTGAATAACTTTACGAGCTTTAAACATATCATTTTCGAATCAAAATATGTTCTCAAATCAAATAATGTCATTATTATGATAAAACTGCAGAACTGAATTATTTTAAAAAGTTTGATTCTTACAAAAAAAAAAAATTCTTTCGCCTTTGTTTTAACAATTCAAATTCTTTATTAACAATTTATAAATACATATTTGTTTACTAAAAGTAACAATATATAATAACAGTAATAATTTGAATTGTTAAAACAAAGGCGAACGAATTTTTTTTTTTTTTTTTGTAGAAATCAAACTTTTTAAAATAATTAATTTCTGCAGCTTTATCATAATAATGACATTATTTGATTTGAGAATATATTTTGATTCGGAAATGATAGGTTTAAAGCTCGTAAAGTTATTCAATTTGTTTATAAGCCTAAAAAATGTTTAAAACTTTAAATAAATTTCTAGGCTCTCCTAGTAAAACCGATTTGAATTTTACAAAAAGCGTTTGGAACTTTGAGCCTCCCTTTATATGTAAAAAAAATGCAACTATCTGAGGGCCTTATTTAGAGCCTACTATAAATTTGAAAATTTGCGAGTTTTTTTTCCAGTAGGCTGGATTAGCAAAATTATTATGCAAAACCTATCCGACCGATCTTAAAAAAAAATTAGCACACGTTTTAAACATATTAAAAAGTTTTTCTAGGCGGAATATGGAGCTTGTAAGTCAAGTTTAAAAAGTCGAAAACATTTAAAGGATTAACTTCATTTTTTTGTACTTTTTTTTCATTATTGCTATTTTTTCAACAATAAACATTAAATTTTCAATTTCTAGCTAACGACATATTATGTAAAATTGAATATCGAAACTTTTAACTTCTTATAATTTTTTCTCTAGGATCAATATTTTCCGAATTATAAACAAAAATAGGAGCAAAAAAATGAGAAATTTTCAATTGTTTTCAGATTTTGTTAAATAAAAAATTTAGCACAGGGTTTGCGACTGGCGCATATCGTGATTATCGATATTGGGCCCATCCTGAAGGGATTCCAGCAAAAAAATAGCTTCCTATGGAAAATGTCCATTATGATCTGAATTTTTACAGATCCCGCCTAGTCTATAAGGAATTTTTTCTCCTAAAGTTATAACATGAATAGTTTCTGATATATAGCCGAGAGATCGGCTTATTGGACCACCCGATACATGCCATATTGTAAACAAAATTATAAATAGTTATAATATACTTAAACGATATAATAATCGATCATTATAAAAAACCTTAATAATATCCTTATTATTTAAAGTACAAAATTGGGCAGACAACTTAAAAATATATAAAATAATTTCCCAACTTGTGTTTCTAATATAGAAACCAGTGATTTATTCCAGAAATGTATTTATATAAAATATGCGTCCTAATACCTAAACAACCGAAAAGGTAAAAATTTTGCGCAGTATACTAATGGCTTTAAATATTTCACGAAAACATAACCTAATATCATGTCGAAGAGTGGCATTTTGTAAATAATTATTTTAATACACGTGAATGGGCCCACAACCCTTTCACATCAAAAATTAACTCACAGCCGTTATGTTAATTGAAAAATGATAAAACCGTAACGTTTCATCTGTAATAAAACGATCACCATCATCATTCGCGTCCACATTCTTTCATTTCACGTCACAGCCGGGATCTAATCAACGTCACAACACGAACCGATGGGTGTCAAAATATAAAGATTAAAAAACCATGTGCAAATAATTTACCCCTTTTTACTTTTCAGTTCTCCGAGTCTTCGATGGGGAGTCGCTGACGTTAATGAATGTTCAACGGACTGATATGGGTGCCTACTTATGCATAGCCAGTAACGGAGTGCCCCCGTCTGTTAGCAAACGCTTCAGCATTATTGTGCATTGTAAGTCATTTTTTTAGTTATTAGCATGCTGTCAATTGGTGTTCGAAATCCCCCAATTTAATTTTAACGCAAGAATCTCGATGCCAGGGATGCGCTTTTACCAGCCATCAAAAACTGAGAAATATCATGAATAAAGACCAATATTATAATCCTAATAACTATCGAACTATAAATAATATATATATATATTATATATATATATATATATATATATATATATTATATATATATATATAATATATATATATATATATATAATATATATATATATATTATATAATGATGATATTCAAAGTCTTAAGTGCGCCAAGCAATTAATTAGCTAACTAATTAATTAATTAAACTTATTTAAATGATGTAATTATGATTCTATCACACTATTTAATTCTCTTATCTCAGGGTTATACTCGTGCTTCAATATCTATGACTTTACATGTGATAGGTAAGGTCCAAAGAATACCGGAACAATAAAAAACATATATGATGCAACATTATAATGAATAAAATATTGAAATAAAATTCACACTCAAATATCTTCAATAAACAATATCTCATAAAATGATTATCAAACTTTTGTTCTACGTACGTGAACCTTCAAAATTTATGGCACATACATACAATATAAATTAAAATCTCAAAGTAAAATTGTAGTTCTAAATCTCCTGATCAAAATATTCCTATCTTTTCTAAAGCAATTGTAAAAATTGTGTTGTTAATAAAGAAAAACTGATGAATAGCAAAACTATCTCTCTCTGATGATGAGTTGTCCAAATCCTTGTTCCTTGTAGCCTACACTATCTATTCTTAGCAGTCCCCTAGGTAATCAGCAATCTTACAACAAACTGTTGCGAGTCTATCGTCTCTAATGATCTCCTTCAAATGCACGTATTGTTCAAATTATGCTAGCCTCTTCTCCTCTCGATAAACTGAATCTCTCGTTCTGGCCTGAACAGTGACTCTTGGAATATAAGTAGAAAATATAACTTACAATATTTTACTGGATCAGCTTCTGTCAGATACACTAACTCCACGAAAACTCATAAACATTCACTTCTACTGCTTTCTACCTCTGGGGAACCACCTGAGAACAACGACTGTTCGCCTTGCACCCTTGGAAACCAACTGATTATCTTTTTTCCCTCAAAAAAGTAGCTAAAGTCTAATTCTTACAAACCATATCCCACTTTTTCAATCTCCTCCAATCAAAGCTCGCCACAATTTTCCCCACCTCTTCATTTAGACAACAAACAATAATTTTACCTACAATTATAAATTTCCTAAATACTATTAACATCGGTTAATCGGTTTCTACAAATTCTTAAGAACTAACGGAGAAATATATTTTCTAAATATCTATTCTATTGTCCTAAGTACTGTACAAGTCCATTTGGAAAACCCGCTCGCATTGTTTGGTTTCACTAACTTCACTCGAATATAATTTAGGTATAAAGAAAGAAAGAAAATAATTTATGCATATCTTAAATTTTTTGTTTACTACACTACTTATAGTGTGAGTAAATTCCCATTGTACAATTTTTAGTGAATAAGTTAAAATAAACAATTGGTATGTAGTATAAACGTATAACAATTGGATGGTACGTAGTCAGTTGTTGTAATACTGATATTAAGATCTATCATGTCATATATTGTTTAGTATATTACAGTAGATATTGCTTGAATGGTTGGTGTCTGTCTTATAATTGATAGATTCAGAGTTTTATCAATGTGTACCATTTCAAGGAAAAGTCGATTTTTATAATTATCAACTTGTTTCAAGATTTATACATTATTAAAGTCAAAGTTGTGCCCTGTCTTCAAGTGGTGGTCCACTAAGGCACAAGAGTTTTTTCGTAAGTTACAGTCACTTTTGTGTTGAGTGACACGTTGTTTAAGCCACTGTTGACTTTGTCCAATATAAAAACTTTGACATTGACTGCAATTTACTCTGTAAATTATATTACTCATTAGTAAATTTGGAGTTTTAACTTTTATTTTTGAGAACAATCTTGAATTTAGAAGTGGATTTTATTTAATTAATTTAATGTTTGGAAATGTTTTGAAAAGTGGTACAATTTGGTCTGTTAAATTTTTTATGTAAGGTATTTTTTGTATGAAACTGGTTGTGGAATATTTATTAAAGCTCTATTGTAAAAGTTAGTGTTATATATAAGTTTTTTTAATATATGTTTTGGGTAGCTATTGTTTAAAAATATTTCAAAAAGTTTCTTTAAATTGACATATAGGAAACTCCGATCACAGATTGCCGTTACGACGATTTTTCATAGATATAATTGTGTTGAATTTTTGATTTCTAGAATGATTAGAATAATAATTTTTAAATCTGCCAGATGCAGTATCTTTTTGATACCAATCTAATATGATTCTGTTGTCATTAGTTCTTATAACTTTGGTATCTAAAAAATGTAAAATTTTATTCGGATTACTCTAGCTGAGCTGATTCCAAAAATGTATCACATGTTGATTCAAATTGGCACAGGATGGACAAAAATACAATAGTTTTGTTTGTGCTCATAAAGTAACGCGTTAGTTAAATTAACAATATCAAAAATACTTATTGTCTAGCGGACAGAATATGAAAGAAATTATTTCTTATCAATTTAAAAGAAACATAGTAGGTTATGTTTTTGTTAAATGTCATTATTTGTTTAGTAATTTATTAATGTTCAGTGACAGTTTAGTACTACAATATTTTTGGTATTTGTGAATGTTTTAATTATTGCTTAGATTTAATTTGAAGTGGAAATGGAGTTAAGTGTAAAGCACAGAATTGAAATACTTATGATGATTGGGTATGGAGACAGATCGCGAACTAGATGGAAGTGTGCAATTTGTTTAATAATAAATATCCAGAAAGACCTATAATGCGTTCAACAGTCAGTAAGATTAAAAAGAAATTTCGAGAAACTGGTACAGTTGAAAATGCACGGAAATCATGTCGTCCCTCTGCAAATGCTGATTCAGCATTAGATGTTTTACTTAGTTTTAAAGAAGATGCGCACACTTTTGTGCGTAAAGTTAGTGGCGATAGCGGTGTTAGCAAAACAACGGTACATAAACTATTAAAGCTTGAAAAATGGCATCCTTATAAAATTAAACTTGTGCAGGAATTAAACAAAGATGATCCCGATAGAAGAATGCAATTTTGCGATGCAATGATGGATAACTGCCACTGAGACCCTCTTTTGGTACAAAACATTATTTTCTCTGATGAGGCCACTTTACGTAAATGGCGAGGTTAACCGTCAGAATTGTAGATAGTGGGCCAAAGAAAACCCCCGACTGATGCGTGAGCATCATACACAATTCTCGCAAAAGGTAAATGTATGGGCAACAATTGGAAGATATTGAATCATCGGACCCTACTTTATCGAAGGTGATTTAAACGGGGCAACGTACCTACTTTACGTAATTTGTTTCCCAGCAGACGTAATCCTGGAGATTTTGATGAAAGTTTGATGGTTTCAACAAGATGCTGTACCTCCACATTATGCTGTAGATGTTAGAAGGTACCTAGATGAAATTTTTCCGAACAGGTGGATTGGTAGACGTAGACCTATTGAATGGCCAGCGAGGTCACCAGATTTCAATCTTTTGGATTATTTTATGTGGGGCCATCTGAAGAATGTTGTGTATCAAACGAAACCAGCAAATATTCAAGAATTACAACAGAGAATTCGGACAGCAATAAACAATATTTGTCAAGACACAAATACAGCAAGGGCTGCAGTTCGAACATTTATAAAGCCATGTATTTCATATATTCTGTCCGCTAGACAATAAGTATTTTTGATAATATTGTTAATTTAACTAACGCGTTACTTTATGAACACACACAAAAACTATTGTATTTTTGTCCACCCTGTACCAATTCGAATCAACACGTGATACATTTTTGGAATCAGCTCAGCTAGAGTAATCCGAAAAATTGACACAAAATGGTGGTGTTCCATTTAAAACAAAATGACGGTGACGTCATTACTCGAAAGTAATTTACCCTGTATATTAGAATATTATTTTAAAATACGCTAAATTAAAATAAAAAATCGACGGGTTTCAGGATTATTTCTTAAAATGCTCTGTTTAGCGAAAAAAAGAATTTGTTTCATACTTTACGGACACAATGTATATACACATATGCATATATACAAAGATATTATTATGGTAGGGAAAAATGGGAATTTTAAATTATAATATTTTAATTCAAAGACCTTACCTATAATTCAATTTGTCTGAAATTGTACTTTCGTGGCTCAGTATCTTTATTTTTGTATTTGCAACTATGAGGACAAAAAGGAATAATAAAAACGATATGAGAAAATTGTTTATATTCAGTCACCGATAAAATACTTTCAATCCACTCTAAACTCCCTGTGAATGTCTTTTGAAAATTTAAAATTTAAATATTACGTTTAAGCTGGAATAGCCACAATTATTGGTTGTAATGAAAATGTAATTCTTTATAAAAAGTTCTGAATGATCCAAAACCTAGAATACAATCATCAGATATTCAATTGTTTTAGTCATGGACGCGGTTTGCCAAAAAATATGAGTTGTTAACTCTTACGTAAAACTCATATTTTTTTATTCTAGGTTGTAGATTAATAACTGTTTATAAATAATAACTTTTTTAATTTCTTAATTTTATTAAACGTTCTTTTATATTTTTTTGACAAAGACTGCCACGTCACCTGTTGTTTCGGAAATTTCTCCTTCCTTGACAAAAGTGTTCGTAAAGATCGCCTCCGGCCAGTCTCGTTGAGCCCTTCTATATCATCCCCGCTTGCTATTCTTTTGTTAACTACTTCGACTCTTCTTTGATTACTTTTGAGTTCTCCAAGTTTACTTGGATCCCCATTTCTCTTCTTTTAAGACGGATCCATATTGGTTTTTGTGTCTCAGAATGTTGAGCATACGGGCTGCTTCAGAACCCTTGCTTCTTATTTACTTTGACCGCTTTTTTAGAGGCATTCCAACTTTGATTTATTGTCGATTTTTCTTGTCTTTCTTCATTCCTTCCCACGAGTTTGGTCGTATTGATCAGTCCAGTATAGCAGTGCTCACTTACACCTCTAAGGCTATTTTCGCTTCCAGTTTGCCATTTTCCTTTGGGCATCCCTTGTAGTCCACTATGTCACCTCTGGACTATACATCCCGTCGACACAAGGTTGTTACACCTTGAGGTTAAAGAAGGCGGTAGTTTTCAGTACGAGCTCGCCTTCTCTGTACACTGAAACTGAAAGAAAAAAAAAGTGAAAAGAACGGAACCGAACAAGAGATTTACCAACGAGGGCCGATAGAAAATATTAAAGTCATTCGACACAAGACAAGTTGAAGCAAAGTGAGATGTTAAGAATCCAAATTATTAAAAGGGTTAGTAACTTGGATTTTAGTGAATGGCCAAAGATGAGCCTGGGTAACTAGTCCTGGCCCATCTGAGCTTATCCGCCTGCAGAATAGGTTTGATTATATGGAAGGAAATAAGAATGTATTTGGGTAATTTGGAAGAAGACGCAACACTTATAACTGCACCGCCACCGCAGCGGTGGTGTTTGGCACTTACCCAGTGCACAGACGCTAGGTGGCTAGAGGGACCAAGACTGATTACTAGGCCCTTCTACCTAAGAGATAGAAGAAAGATGGACAAAAATGAAATTGCTGAGACGTGAAGAAACGCGAAGGTTTCAAGAAGAAATCACAAAAAATGGTTAGAGGAAAAAAATATGATCTTTAAAGATAAGATGTGGTAAGTTGAAGGATAACACTCATGAGCAGAAAAAAATTGTAGCGGGCAAATTTAAATCCAAAGGCCGCTGAGACCTACCGTGCTGTACAATGTAATTATATTTTGATAATATTATGATAATCTCCGGATAAGAATGCTTCGATGTTATATTTTCTCTACCCTTTTGTATGGAGTTGAAGCTTGGACACTTAAAAAATCCAACATTAAAAACCTAGAAGCATTCGAAATGTGGTGTTACCGACGTATTTTTAAAATATCATGGAACAACTAGGAAAACAATAAATTCCATAAAAATCAGGAAATTGGAATACTTGGGGCACATCATGAGAGGTGAAAAGTACGAACTACTAAGGAATATAATGCAGGGTAAAATCAAAGGTAGAAGAAGCGTAGGAAGACGTAAAATCTCGTGGCTACGCAATCTCCGTGAATGGTTTGGATGCAGTTCAATTGAACTATTCAGGCGAGTAACCAATAAAATTATAATTGCCAGAATGATTTCCAATCTCCGATAATTATGTATTTTTTTATATTAGAGCTGACCATGCCTTTTGACTTATCATTTATATTCTTCTTCTTTGTCTACCATTTTACATTCACTCCTGAATGTAGGTATCTCCAATTGCTTCCATCTTTCTCTATCTGGCGCCAATATAATCCACTGTTTGCCTGCCATTGTTCTTATGTCATCTACCCATCTCTTTTGAGGTCTCTCTATGTTTTTTGTCGTCCTACTTGGTCTACATTCTAGAATTTTCCGTGTTTGTAATTTTTTCCACGATATCTCTGATCTTCGTTCTACGCGTTTCCTCGATGTTTGTAGTCTTGTCTCTCAGTGATTTTAAGCATGTTTCGTCCCATTTCCCTTTGCGTTGTTTTTAGTTTTTTAGCAGATTTACTGGTAACGGTTATGGTCTCCAACCGTAGGTACAAACCGGTAGTATGCATTGTTCTTGATATTTATAGGAATGAAGGCGGTTTTTAAGATATATCCTAGTTTATCGAAAGCAGCCGATGCTAGCTGTGTTCTTCTTTTAATTTCAGCATCTTTATTTGTTTTCCTAGTTTGATGACATGGTCCAAGTATGGTTTTGTATTGTTATATCTGTCTGGTTCCACCTCATTATTTTTGTTTTACTGTAATTCATTTTTAAGCCTACCGCTTCATAAATTTCATTTAATTTTATCATTTATATAAAATAATTAAATGACATGACTGTTTTCTGGCAAAATTGTTAAAAGCTCTGTTTTTGACTTTTCGTTAAATATTTTGAAATTCAACTCATACCTAATATGATTATATTAAATAATATCGTTTCAATGTTTATTGAGTAAATTTCTCTAAATTGTTTATGAGTTTTGTTTTAAAATTTTACATATGTCATCAATATTGACTGCTCACTTTTATTAAAAATTAATGATATTACTGAAATAAATTATTCTATAAATAATTTATACCAGAACTATTTTTAAGCTTTATCCGTTGTTATTTGATAGTGCTCAGCTGTTTTAATTAAACAAAAATATTGCAATAAAAACTTTATATTTAAATTAATTTATTAGATATAATTTATTTTTAGTTATTTTATTATTATTCCCAGATTTAGCCATTCACTCATCTCAGATACCTACGGTATCAAAAGGATTGAACTCGGTGGGATTCTTTCCGTGTTATCGAGCCCTAGGTGACTTGGTATGTTGGAGTATCTCCCAAAAATTTTCGTACACATCTGGACGTCGCGAGGAGTACAGCTTTCTGCACAGCCTTATAGAGGAGTTCATTTAGACCCAGCTGTTTTATGTTCTATAGAAGGTTTTTGGGAATAACACCAGTAGTGGATAGAATAATAGGTACTGTCTGGGTACTTTGCATTCTCCATTGTCTCCTGATTTTTATTTCTAGATCTCTGTACTTGGCGATCTTTTCGTTGTATTTAACACGTAACTTATTGGTATTAGGTATCGCCACATCAATAAGTGTTATTTGCCTAGTAAGTTTATTAATTACTATGAGATCCGGTCTATCCGGTTGTCCTGTAAGCACAGTGCTGACCCAGTATAGCTTGTAGTTGTCATTTTCAAGCATTCTGTCAGGGACGTATTGATAATAAGGAAGATGGTCGGTTTGGAGAAGTCCCAGTTCTTGGTGGATAATCTTTTCTACTGAGTCATTTCGTTCTTTATAATCAGTACCGACAAATGCCTGGCAGCCACCGGTAAAATGTTTGATGGTTTCTTGGGCTTGACATCCATATCGCCATTTGTCATTTTGGACTTGAGGATCTTTAACAATATATTTCAGGTAATTTTTAGTTGGAATAACCTGACCCTGAATGGCAAGTAGGAAACCCTCAGTCTCGGGAAACACCTTTCCCGATGTCAACCAATAGTTCGACGCTGTATTGTCGACATATTCTTGGCTGATCTCATGGAGATGTTGCCCATGGAGAGGTTTACTTATCCAGGTGCGCATTTTTTCTTGCTGAGTCTGGTGGTTTATGTGCATTTCTTATTCCCTCAGTTTAAGTGGCGTTGTATCATCTACTGCGCAAATTGCTCGATATAAAGTAGATGTCTCAGCCTGTACCTGGAAATAAGTTCTTAAATTAGCAATAAGAATATAATTAGAATAAAAATATCAATTTTGGAAAATGATGCAGTAAAAATTCATATTAAACAAAAGTTTTTTTATTTAAGATTGTACTTATTTGTTACAAATTTTGGTTTTAACACTTAATCAAAGTCATTCATATTGTAATCAGTTTGTTCGGTTTCTACTGTTTATTGTTCACATATAAATCTGCATAAATCCTATGGTAGTGCTCTCGAATAACATTAGCCTTACATAGTGAGAGCAGATCTTGTTTTTTTTTAGATTGGATATTCCTGGTGGATGCGAATATGCTTTACTTAGTTCCAAATTAGTCACCAACGCTCGTTGTCTTCGCCTTATATTAATGGTATTTAACTATGTATCGTTATAGCTTGTCTTAACCTGAAACTTATTTTCAAGTGTCTTCTCCACCTTGATCATCTTAATCTCATTCCAGACGACCTGATTTCTTTTTTCGTCAATGTTATAATTGTTCCCCATTTCCTTTCATAATTTTTTTAAGTTCAATATAACCGATGTAGACGTTTCATTAATTTTGTACTTAATTTTGTCACTACTGTGACCTATTGCGCAGGCACATAAATTGGTCCTCCTTTTAATGCCCTTTTTTATTGTTTCTCAATCAAAGAATGCATGTTATCTCCCTCATTTTTGGAGTGACCCGTTATCAAAAATTTGTGGATAATTATAGTTAGATAAATATAATTGAACTTTTATATTGCTAACTTAAATAAGTGGATATAATTTATAATTTGGTTTATTGAAGCTTATTTGGATTTCTAATGCGAAAACCTTTTAAAACAAAATCTGAATTAAAAAAATTGTAATTAATTGATCTGATCAATTATTTACAATTTTATTTTGGAAATTTTTGGAAAACGATTTTTGCATTGGAAATGGAAACGTCAAAATAAAACAAAAAATTATATAAATATTGAGTGAAAGATATGCCACAAGAAAATAGTTTCAGAGTCATGTTAGATGTTCGCTTGAATACTTGATACATTATACGCATAATTAACGGTTGTTTATTTTGTTTCAGTCCACCCTTTAATTAGGGTATCAAATCAGCTAGTAGCCGCTCCCATAACCAGTGATGTTCACGTACAGTGCTACGTAGAAGCATCTCCGAAAGCCATGAACCACTGGATGCGGGACAACGGTAAGCACTTTTCCCTAGAGCCGAGCTTAACCGACGTAGGCCCATATATTGTACTATCCACCGCAGACCGATACCTACATTTCAAATTACTGACTACGCTGCCCGAAAACGGTCTTCGGGCTTCTTTCATATATCACACTAAAGCTAAATCATGTCGGGACTGTCACATAATTTTAACATTTTACCACGTACAGGGTATTCAACACAAGTAATGATGAGATTTATTTTGGTAATGAGATTATATACAGTTTATTCGTTTTTAAGAAAAGAATGTGGGAATAGGATGCGTGAAAAATAAAAAAAAGTCCCAGAACCAGATTAAATATACCTACACAGAAACAACTTAACAGCTTAATAATTTATTGTTGTGCAGTTGTGCAAAAATAGATAAAATATTTACAAACGAAATGGAGTAAAAGACGCGTTTCCAGCGCCTATAAAATAACTGGAATATGAAAGAAACTAATACTGGAAGAAAATAAAAATACTTAGTAGCACCATACTAACAGACCAAGCGGATCAAAATCACGACGAACTAGACAAATAAAGAATAAACGAGCTAAAAAAGGATATGTTGAACATAACTGCTTTTAAAGGAAATCTACAGAGAAGCCCAGAACTAATCAAAAACATTCTCTTAGTGGAATCATCATCAGCCGTTTGAGTCCACTGCTAGACATAGGCCTCCCGTAAATAATTCCATGGGAATTATTTACGGGAGACATGGGAATATCTAATACACCTGTTCAATTTGCCTGCCGTTAGTTGAGATGTTTTTCGCCAGTACAAGGTTGCCCATATATTGTGTTTTGGAAAAATTAATTTTAATTCCAACTCGTATACACGACCTCTGAAGGTCTTGAAGAAGCTGGTAGGCATTATCTACCCGGTCTGCAATAAAGACTATGTTGTCTGCAAATCTCAAGTTGTTCAGAAACTCTCCATTTATGTTGACTCCAATATTCTCCCAATTATTGTTTCTCATAGCACTCTGCAACAAAGCGGTGAATAGCTTAGGAGAGATGATATCTCCTTGCCTAATACCCCTCTCGAAGGAAAATGTATTTGTGTTGCCATAATACATTCTAACTGCAGCTGTTGCGCTATTATATATATTCTGAAGAAGAGTTGTGTACCTATGATCAATACTGCACTCTGTAAGAGCTCTTAACATGGAGCTATGCTGGACTGAGTCAAACGCTTTCTCAAAGTCTACAAATATTAATATCAATGGCTTGTTGTATTCTGTAACTTTCTCTATTAAGGATTTTATTACTTGTAGGTGGTCATTCGTTCCAAAGCCTCTCCTAAATCCGGCCTGCTCTAATGGTTGGTGAAAATCCAGCTTAGGTTCCAGTCTGTTGGTAATTATTCTCATAAAGAGCTTATATAAATGAGATAACAATCTGATAGGTCTGTAGTTTCCAATTTCTGTTACATCTCCTTTTTTGTGCAATATTATCATATTGGCACTATTCCATTTTTCTGGTGTAACTCCTTCAAAGAGGCAGACATTATAAAGTCCCTCTCCCTCATTAAAAACTCCCTCTCTATGTTTAGTATCCGTTGCATTTCGTACTTTCTCTTTTTCTGTCTGCACAGTTTATCTGCTCCTTGTCTTTTGTTCTCAAATTCTGTTTTTCTCTCTCTAGTATGTCTGAGTATGTAATTCTTATGTGCTTCATTTCTTTCCGGTATAGCTTGTTTGCATTCTTCATCGAACCATGTTTCTTCTCTCCGTTGTGTCTTTGTTCCTAGGATTTCTTTCGCTGTGTTGAGTATGATACTACTTGGTGTTCCATTGGTTTTCTATTTTGTAGTCTGCTCTGTTTTCTTCTAGTAATTTTTCATCCACTGTTCTCTCAAATCTTTCTTGTACTTCAGAGACTTTTAGGTTATCTAAGTTTAGTTTTTTTTTGTTTTGGATATTTTTCCTTTACCTATCGACTGATTTTGCATCTAAACCGTGTCTGTACTAGTAGATGGTCTGAGTCACAGCTTGCGCCACGTCTGCTTTTTACATCTAATGTAAAAATTAAATTAAATTGATACAAGATGGTGTCGTTTAAAGTCCTTCATAATTGAAAATAAGATAACTGAATAAAATTAACTCTCATTTTAATTAACGTATTTAAAACTTTATCTCTTGCAGGTGAAAAGCTAATTCCTAGTTTTAAATATATCATGGAGGAATCAATAATCAACGAATACTCGCTTCAGATGAATCTGACAATCCTCAACTTGGATGAAACTGACTTTGGAGGTTATATATGTACATCATCCAACGCATTAGGAAAGTCTGAAGGTTTGGTTAGATTACTAGGTAAGTTTCGATGTTTTGAGTTATTTTCCACTTTCGGTGAACAAATAAGTTGTTTTCGGTGAAACAGCCTTGTCAAAATATATAGTTATAATTTAAACAGAAGTGTTGAAATAATTAATTATTTATATAGATGAAAATTTAGTATTAAATCCAAGTAAAATATTAAATTTATTATGCCACTGTTGTTTAGGGATAGCAGGTAGGGTTAGTAAAACAAAATTATTTCCAGGCCAAAAGACCATTTTTGAATTATTGGCTTTTAATTTTAACAGGATATTTCTCATTCATTGATAGTAATATGTGTATATAACTGTTAGCAGTAATTCGTGCAAATTGGTCTATATCATAGAATCCCAAAGTGGTCTATATAGATACCCAGGAATCGATTTTGACTAGCAGGAAGTTCACAATATTGAGAAAAGAAATGGTAAACTTGAAAAAACTTTCAGCAAAAGAAACGTGTGGAATAAACCATGTAAACAGAAATAAGAAGCAAACACAATGGTGGTACGATGAATTAAAAGCCCAAATAAAATATAAAAAACAGAAATGGAAAATATACTTAAACAAGAAAACAGAAAATAGTTACGACGATTATAAACGACAAAGAAAGGTGGTGAAAGAAATGGTGCTGAAAGAAGAAGAAGGAAGCTTGGGATAAGTTTGGAATGAAGATGGAGGCAGATAGCGGGTAACCAAAAATTGTGTTACAAGGCACTAAAGACGCTAAGAAAAGGTAAAGAAACGCTGTGGTACGCTGATTATCAGACCAAATGAGATTATGGAAAGATGGAGACAATACTTCAACGAACTCCTAACACCAAGACAGCCGAAAGAGGAAACTGTAATAATAGAAGTAGAAGGAGAACATGGACAAGAAAATTATATCCAAATAGAAGAAGTCAAAGAAGCAATTAATAATACAAAGAGAGGTAAATCGGCTGGTCATGACAAAATCACTGCTGAAATGTTAAAGACGATGGGACCGAAAGGAGTTGAATTTTTAACCAAAATTATGAACATGGCTTGGAACCGATGTACAGTTCCCGAAGAATTGGAGAATTGGCATAATACTACCAATCATTAAGAAAGGAGACCCAAGTTCTTGTGAAAATTATAGAGGAATTAATCTACTCATTATCGTCTTCAAAATATATGAAAGCATCCTAGAAAAGAAATTAAGACACATCGTTGAACCACATCTGGATGAAGTACAAAGTGGGTTTAGGAAGGGACACAGTACGCAAGACCATATATTTACGTTGAAACAAATAATTGAGAAAGCTAGAATAAAGAACACAGAAATATATATGGCTTTTCTAGATATTGAGAAAGCATTTGACAGAATGTCCCAGGAAGCAGTTTGGAAAAGTGTGCAAAATATTGACCATTAACTAACAGGTGTTATCAAAACTTTGTATCAAAATAACAAGAGTTATGTACGTAAGGATAACTTGGAATCAGAGATGTTTGCAATAAACGAGGGTCTAAGACAAGGAGGTGTTATGAGACCCACACTGTTCATATTGATTATTGACAACATAATTAAGGAAACAAAAGCAAGTATACACAAAGTACATATCGGATATAGTAAACTACGACCGGTTGGTATAGCTGAGTGTGCATTCGCAGATGATCTCATGTTATGCGCTTCCAACGAAAAGGACCTCCAGAAAAATATAGATAGCTGTAATAATGAGCTGGCAATTAGAAACATAAAGATTAATGTTAAGAAAACCAAGGTGATGCTAATAGCGAAAACTAACCAAAATGTTAACATAGAAATTAACCAACAATTCATAGAACAACTAGATGCATTCAAATACCTAGGGGTTACAATAGACAGAGAAGGTACCATGCAGAATGAAATAACAGAAAGAATAAGTAGTGCTTCAAAAGTGTACCATAATCTTAGTAGAGCATTCATAGGTAAACCGGAAATCAGCAGAAAAACCAAAATGACAGTTTATAAGACAGTATTCCGACCTATCTTAATATATGGAAGCGAGAGCTGGGTTTTAACAAAGCAATTAAAAAGCAAGATACAAGCCATTGATATGAAATATCTAAGACGAGTCAAAGGAATAACACGACGAGACAAAATAAGAAACGTTGTTAGAGAAGAACTGGGCACAGAATCTGTACTACATACTATTGAAACACAACAGATAAAACGGTTTGGTCATCTGTGCCGAATGAGCGACAACCGACCCGTTAAGCAAGTCTGGAAGGCTAAAGCGAAACAGTTTAAAACACAGAGGCAGACCACGAAAAACCTGGGATGACGAAATAGAGCAGATTTTGAAAAGTAGGGGAATGGAATGGTCAGAAGCTCAAAATAAGGCAAAAAACAAGAAAGAATGGGCAAAGTTCGTGCACAGAATAGAATAAAAAACAAGAATTCTGTATTTTCATTGGATTTGAGATGTATGTATATGTAACCTGTATTTGTATTTACCTACACTTAGGGTAGAAAGGTGTTCGATATATATATATATATATATATATAATCAACAATTGTATTTAATATATCGAGAAAAACTCCAATAAGTTAGAATATCTACCTCCATTGGGTTTCGTAAAATTTCGGACTCTCCCTTGTGTATCGCGATAAAAGTTTTGCTTGTTTCGTATGCATGGAAATATTACGAAATATTTGACCAACTTATGTATTCATGCAGTCGATAAATTTTTACATCTCATGTATATTTGGAGTTTTATAAAGTGTTGTTGTTATTATCGTTTTGTGTATCAACTTGGACACATTCTTTATATAGAATCATTTTGGAAGTTTATTACACACAAATATATATATATAATATATATATATATATATATATATATATATATATATCGTTAAGGAAAAAATTGAATACAATTAAATAAAGAATAGGTGGAAGGCAACTAAATACTATTTCTGACTATTTGGTCGTCATCAGTACGGTGCGGCAAGTTAAAAAGGAGCATGTTAACTTGGGAAAGGATCTAGGTTAATCGAACGTTACACTGATCACATATGGATGGGTAATTCTTTGTGAAAAGGTAGGTAAGAGTCTTAGCTTGGTATGTCCTAGACGTAGACGCGCAAGCACAATTTGTTCACGCCTGTTAAGCATTAATTAATCATTGATTTGATTATATCATTAATAGCTATAAGGAAAAGCGTCGGGCTGATTACCGAGCCTTGGGGTGTACCATTTTTTTGATATCTCATATTAGATAGAAGACCGTTTACTTTTACCTTAAAATTTCTATTTAGGAGAAAATTTTTAATAAAAGCAAGTATATTTGCTTGATAGCCCATGATTCCAGTGTTGAAATTATCTTGTGATGCCAAGCCATATCAAATGCTTTGTTCAAATCAAACTAAATTGCAATCCATTTTTGGTTGTTGTAGAATGCGTTACGAAAAATCAGGGAAGCCAAAGAGTTATGGATGCGAGCAAAATGTGAGGAACTAGAAGAATTGCAACGAAAACATGACGGATTTAATACAAATAAGAAAATAAAAGAAGTTACAGTACACAAAAGAAATACACCCATAACATTAACGAATAATGAAGGTCATGCACTATCCCTAGAAGACGAAGTAATGGAGGAATGGGAAAACTACATTAAAGCATTATTTAAGGATGATCGAGGATCACTACCTAACTTAAGTGCAAATACAGGACCATCAATCTTAAAAGCTGAAGTGGAAAAAGCCATACACCAAGCCAAAAACAACAAAGCCAGTGGACCAGATCAAATATACAGCGAATGGCTAAAATTACTCTCAAATGAACAATATAAAAGAACTCACTGTACTGTTAACAAATATATGTACAGTGAATCATCGACTCTGAATTCAACAACGCTGCAGAGTTCAAGATTCAAATACCTTGGATGTTGGATTACCCAAAATCTAGATCTATCCTTCGAAATTCGATGTAGAATTGAACAGGCAAGAAACTCATTTCAAAAATTCAAGCCTCTATTATCCAATAACTCATTAAATTTGGAAATCCGTGAAAAGTTTACAAGATGTTACGTGTGGTCTGTACTTTTGTATGGATGTGAAACTTGGACTTTAAACGCCGATATCATGAATAAAATCGAGGCGTTTGAGATGTGGTTGTATCGAAGGATACTAAAAATTCCATGGACTAGCAGAACCAGAAACGAAGAAGTTCTTCGAAGAATGGGATATCAACGAACTCTATTAAATATTATTAAGAGGGGTAAACTAGAATATCTTGGACATATAATCAGAGGACCAAGATATGAGTTCCTTCGGCTAATTCTCAACGGTAAAATCGAAGGAAAGAAATGGATAGGACGGAAGAAACTCTCTTGGTTGAGGAATTTGCGGCAGTGGACAGGTTTGACAGCGGACCAATTGCTACACGTAGCGCAAGACCGAGATCAGTATAACAATATTATAAGCATGGTAGTCGCCGACGTTCCGTAGGGATATGGCACTCTAAGAAGAAGAATGCGTTATTAATATGTCATTCTATATCTACTAAATTGTCGGTAGTAGATCTTAAAGGACGAAATCCAGATTGCTCATTAATCAATTGGTTATTTTCTTCCAGACACCATAATAAACGTTTATTTATATTTTTTTCTAAAAGCTTACACATTACATAAGTTAGAGACACTGGGCGATAAGAACCTGCTTTGTTTTGTGGCTTATTATATTTTAAGATAGGAATGTTTATAGCTTTTTTCCATGAATTGGGAAATTCATGTTTGGTCCATATACGATTATATATTTTTAATAATATTTCTACTGTTTGGTGAGGTAGGTGTTTCAAAAAAGAAGCTGGGATGTCATCGGGGCCAGGGATGTGTCCGTTAAATAATTTACCATCTCTCTTAGCTCTCTGATTTTGATAAGTGCATTTAAAGGTTCATTATTGTTGACTACGTTAAAATGGATAGTTTCTTTTTGTTCTTTTTATGTTAAGAAATCTTTTACATAGTTAGAATTTGTGGATGTTAACTTGAATGTTTCCGCTATTTTTTGCTATATGTTTGTTTCCACTTTATCGGTTACTTTTTCTTGTAGCTCGTAGAGTCATAATTTTGAAACCATACTATAGTAGTTTGGTGAAAATTACGTCGCACATTTTTAAATATCCTTGAATTGATTCATAAGTAAACTATACTAAAACTCCTTAAAATAGAAACATTTTCTTACCTTCACAAAAAATTATTTCGTTACGTATTTTTGTATGTTCGTCATAAAGCAACCCACTCCAAACTAAAAGGTTTACACAGGAAACCTATTAGTATCTTTCTATAATTCTATATATCTGATTCCCGAGAAGGCATATGAAGAATATATCACTATTTAGTTGTCATTTATTCTGATTTATGTCGGCGTGGTCGAAAAAAGTATACATTTCATATTGCCCAATATCGCTCTTTTACCCTATTTGAAACATGCCTTTTGATAAAAGCTCTTCATTAAGATTCCGTTAATGTAGGGTGAAATATATTTCCGGCTACAGCAATTTTATACCAACATTCAGAATGCGTAGGCCCATTTGAATCCCATTAAATTTTTAAATGTTTTTAACATGTTAGTGTAACAACAGATTGTTTCGTTTTCGTATTTTTTATTTAAAGATAACCGCATCCATCGTTTGGTACTTATTGTTAATAGATGGTTGAAAGTTACGACAATAATTACAAGATTCTTAATTATTTCTTCTTATTAAGATACCTATCCCCTACAAATGTTGGCAAATGGGTACTTTCACTGTTTTGTCTACTGCTCTAAAAAGTCCAGTGAGAAAGAGTGAAAACCATTTTTTAAGATTACAGGACTTCGTACTTTTCCTAACAATATAACCTAAATAGACCATTAGACTGTTAATTTTTTATTATATGACCCAGATATTCTATCTTGCGCTCCTTCGGTTGAAACAATTTTACATTCCTTACCTAGTCTTCTCATGACTTCACTGTTTGATGCATGATTTACCCAGGAATTTTCAATAGCACGACATCTGAAAACCCTCTAGTCATTTAAATAATACTTCGGTATGCTTAAGATTCTACCCGGTAAAGAACCAACTTCAAAGGGGTCTTCTTCTTCTCATGACACCGTTTCCTTTCGAAGGTTGGCGATCCAAATGGCAATTGTGATTTTGGAAAGGGGTAGTGAAGCGCAATATAAGATGCTGCTTCCAGTTAGCATTCTCTAGCCTCTCCTACTGCATTCCCTATTCTCACCTCCACGAAGTGCGGCTTGGGCTGCAAACCCTGGAAAACCTGAGCAACCTTGCTGGAGATTGGGCAACCAACCCTAACGGAAGTCAGGGTGAGGGCTGACGAGGAAGGGAGAAATGGTCCTCCGAAAAGGGGGTTGGTGAGCAAGGTTAGCAGCCTAACTACTGTCAAAAAATCAATGTTCATAGAACCGAGCAGAGCCTCGGAATTGGACTGATACACAGATGACGAACCACACAGGAAAAAGAACAAAGAGACCAAATAATCTACGAATTGGCACTTGGAACATCGCATTGCAACATAACACAATAGACCATTAGTCTGTTGATGGACAACTTGATGGTATATAAGGCAAATATCGAACACAGTAATTAATTAAACTTGCCCAAATACTATCGATCAACAGATCATCCTCAGGGGCATTTCGTCAGTTGTGGCCCATCCGACATGAGCAGAATGTCATACATGTAAATTTGGATATACATTACAATACATAAAGACAAACAACACTTGTAAAATTTTTAAAAATGGAGAGCTACTGTTATATAGAAGCCGGAGACAGAATGACGAATGGTCCAACTGATCGTTTATATCGGTACCCAAATAAACATAGCTTGTTTGGTTATGTTATTGTCTATAAATTGATTATTAATTTGTTGTGGCGGTTGTGGTGTTATAATTTATTCTTACAGAAACCAATTTGACTCATTAAATAGAACACTTTTATTACCAGATATCCCATTTATACACAGCATGTGTTTATGAAGTCAATGTCACGAGTCTTGCAAATATTTCTAAATTAGAAGTTTGATTACAGTTTTTATTATGTTACTAGGTCTAATTGTGTATCCATATTTTTATTTACACATTTTTCAATCCTTTGTTGGATGCCTTTACAAATATTTCTCGATTTTAATAAGCGAATAGAAGCGGGGTTTTTGCTCTTTTGGATTGTATTTTGTGAGCTCTCTGTGATTTTGGGCTAGGGCTGAAGTAGTATGGGAATGTTTCTTCGGTTTGTCTATCCCATCTATGTTCGTGGGCAACTAGAACAATGTATCTCGTAGGTACCATGGTCTTCATTAAGGATTTGGTCTTATACGGATCTGACGAGATTGGACAACTAGGAGTGAGGAGTGAAGCTAGCTTTGATGTTTAGATGGTTAAGATTTCTACTGATCTTGTCAGTGATACCTTTGATACAAGTTAGAAAGATTTTAGGTTGATCGGGCGCAAGGTTTTTTTGTTGGAATGGGGTTTAGATGTTTTTGAATGCTCCTATTTATTTGAGTTTTGTGGTAGTCGTTTTGTAAGAGTGTTGGCTTATTGAATTGATTTCAGATGATCTGTGATTGTCGTCGCTAAGTATTATGGAACAGCAAACATGAGTGTTGATAACTGAATTGAGTTGGGCGGAGTGATGTGACTGAGCATTGAGATAATGGTTTGTATGGGTAGGTTTCCGGTACACGGAATACGAAAAACTGTGAGGTGGGTGTTTCTGAATAAGAACATCAAGGAATAACAAAGACGCAATAGACTCAACTTTCATCGTAAATTGAATACTGGGATGTTTTCCATTCAAGAGGAAGAGGAAGAGATCTAATGTGTCTTTATCATTGGGCCAATGACAAATGTGTCATCAACGTACCTTTATCAGGTGGATTTGAGATTTGATGAGGATAGAGCTGTTGTTTCAAAATGTTCCATGTAGATATCAGCTATTACGGGAGAGAGGGATCCCATTGGGGCACCTTAGATTTGATGGTAGAAATGATTTTTAAGAATTTTTAGAATAGATTTTAGAATTTTGTAAAGAAAACGATATATCAAACACCTGGTATAAACTACCCAAGCGACGACTATACACTTGGAACGTCCCATTTGATGATGGCAATAACCCTGAGTCTTCAAGAAATCAAATAGACTATATACTTGTAAAGGAGCGTTTCCGAAATGACGTCAAAAAAGTCATTACATATCCTGGGGCAGATATTAAATCTGATCATCAACCACTTGTAGCAGATATTAAACTAAGCTTAAAACGAATTCAGCGACAAAAACCAAAAACCAATGTACTTAACTTTGACGATATAAACGTAAAACTATCTCTATCTATCTATCTAATTAGCCTTCTTCGGTCCATCTTTGGACATAGGCCTCCCCAATCCTTTTCCATTCTTCTCTGTCTGTCGCTACGGTCATCCATCTAGAGCCCACGTGCTTCTTGATATCATCTGCCCATCTCATTTGGGGCCTTCCTCTGCTTCGTTTATATTCCCACGGTCTCCAACTTATATTCGTATATTAAAATAAACCCAAACAAAACCAAATGTTTAGTGTTTTTAAAAAGATGAAAAATTAAATTTATTTTTACACCCCGTATATAGGTGAAACGTTGACATTTCCTAAAAAACTGCAACGTGAAAAGTCTGCAACGCAAAAATAAAATTATCGAAATCCAATTAAGGATACACAAGAAAAATAGCTTAAAAATTATGGTGTATTTAAGGTTGTGCTATAATTTTGGAGAGTAAAAAATCACGTAATACTTTGAACATACTTTTAATTATTTTTTGAATAATAGAGATGTCGTGATGTTTTTCTTACAAAAATCTGGAGAAAGAATAAAGTGATCTCAAAATATTAATAACATGTAGCGTTTTTTTTCTAATACATTCCACAGGATGTTGCAAAATTAGATGAAAAAACACAACTTTATTTCTACACCCTGTATAAAGGTAAAACGTTGACATTTCTCAAAAAACATTAATATAGTCATTTATTAGAAATATACCTACAATGTGAAAAAAAAAATAAATTATTGAAATTCAATTAAGATTTCAGAAAAAATATAGTTTTAAAATCGTGGTCCACTTTAGGTGGTACGTTAATTTTGGAGAGAAGTGAACAGCTAAATTATGGAATATTATCATTATTTCGAGAACCGTCGAGTTTTGAGGGAAATCCCAAAACAGGTCGATTTTTGTTATAAAATATCCATCTTATAACGTACATGGAGTAGGGATAATGTCACCGGTGTAGGTGTAGTGACGTAATCGTTAATTTTTTTAAATAGAAATTTTTTTAATGCGACATCTGGACACCTCATTTAAACGAGAATTTAATTCTCTATTTAACGACATTACATTTTTAACTAAAATATTTTTTTAAGGGTACAAAAACAATTGTTTGTAATTTAAATTCAATATATATATATATATATATATATATATATATATATATATATATATATATATATACATATATTTATATACGTATGTCTACCTACTTTTATATTTTATTATTTTTTTAAGTGTGAATTGTGAGCGAAAGTTGCAATTGCACCAATTTTAATTTTATACAAATTATAACGGAATCGTGTTTGGTGTGCGGCTTTCCTGTATTTTCCCACTGAACTGACATCTATGCTACCCGAGAGATCCAAGAGAATACATTTAACTTTAAGTGATTTACAGCATCAACTGGGAATGAAAGTTATGATTGAATTTTTTGCAACGAGCGGATACGTTTTATGAACAGAGATTTCAGCTTGATTTAGAAACTCTTAAAGTTTAACTCGGCGCTTTTCTATTTTCGGTCTCTTAATAAAAATTTAATTTTTGACTTTACAGAAATGGCTCTGCAGTTACCCATATCGATTTCGTATCTAAAAATGTTTACTTGGACAACATTACAATTACATGAAAAATATAAGACATTTTATCGACTATCGACAATAACATTTGCTAGACTATTGCCGAATTCCTTGAGTCCTACCTCGTGAATACGATCAAGCAGAGCAGAATTTGGAGATCTTCAATATTATCTGACAGAATTACTGTATTGTCTGCATATCTAATCACATTAAGTAGTTCCCCGTTAATTTTTATTCCATATGGTTGTCT